TCATAGAGAAGTTTGAGACTTTCTACTCTCCTCGTTCCTCAACAAAACAACTCTCAATTTAATTTAAACCAAAATTAACAAACTAGTGAAGTTAGCATATAAGATTTTATCAAAATGCTTCAATACAATTCTAGTTAGCTGTAGTGGTCTCAACCTGACAGTATTAGAAAAAAGACAGAAAATAACTTTAATAACAAACCTCATTTTCAAACTCTCTATTCCCTCTATTAGGAAATATATAATACAAGATATCCAATCCATCCAAACAAAAGAGACTATTTGGTTCTGCCCTATTTGCAATTCAGAAAATTCAACTAGAAAAATTGGATTCTATATGCTACAAAATTAGTCAAAAATCTCAAAATTCAAATTTGTCCAGCAGAATGTCTATTTTACCTCGACAACACAGAAAACTCTATTGATTTTCTATTTACCAATATGCAATCACAACTTAAAAAGACAGCAATTAATACAACCAATGCTCTTAACATAAAGTTCATTAATTAACTACTAAAATATAATAACACTACTAAACTTTCCTGGCCACAACTTGCTACACACACAGAAATAATTTGCCTAGGTCCAAAACCCAACTGGTTCAAAACATTTGTCAATATCAAAAACCTTTTTGGAACTCATGGCCCAATTCCAAATCCTAAGACAATGTTTTGGTTCCTGCACAATATCAATACAATTGTTAAAACTCACAAAAGATATATTTTGATAGACGAAAGAACACTACTCAGAGACAGTCATTTTACTATAGACTCTAACAATAGTCTCACTAGATGTTCGGGCTGTCTGATTGGCACATTCTTCCATGGTTTCTGTTGGATATCATTCACAAGTACATCAGTCTCCACATTATGGGTTTCTTTTAACTCTTTCAACATATTCAAATACTACTTGCTCAATATAATTGATGAAGTTGTCAACCTACCACTTAACAATAAACATATCTTTAAAGAAGTTAATATTTCTATCAATCACTCTCCCCAATTATTACTATAAGATCTCGGTTCACAACAACATTATCATATTCAATTACACAAAAATAGTCTATTTATAAATGAAATTAAAATAAAACTACTCAACTTCTATTTACTACCAGATAACATTCTATTGGCAATCTTTGATATCGTTCAGAAAATTCCAGTTCACATCATTATTGAAATCAAAAGCAACAAAAAAATCCTTCAATCAGTACTTGAGTACTCGAGAAGAATGGTTAAAATTAATTTTTCTTACTATTCCAGATAAATCACTATATACAGTATAATAGAAATCCATAGAAATTATATATACCAAACCTAAGTCCAGACCAATATCAACCAGAACTATTTAATGAAACAATCATCCACTACACTTTTCTGAAAATTCCCTAATTAATGATACTTGCCTATGTAGTAACATCAGATGGTGCAAGAAAATTTTCAGCATTATCAGAGACTACATAATATGTGAAAGCTTCTCAGTTGTTCAAACATTCAGACAAACATATACTTTGCACAGTTTAAAAGTCATCAACCAATTCAACAAAAATATCAAAAAGCTTTATTACAACAAGTACAGCATCCTAGTAGCCTTCAGAGTTAAACTGCTCTTGGGAACTCTTCCAACTTGTCTTACACTCCACTAACTATACTCTAACCAGTACTTGGATATCTTCTGTTTATGATGCGAGCTTCATACTAAAGATATTCAACATGTTTTTAAATACCTGGAAGCATTACAAGCAAATGAACAAATTATAAAAACTATTAATCAGACTTTCCATTTAGACAATAATCATAAACCAATCTCACATATTTGGCAAGTTGTCAAATTGTCATGTAAAGTTATAAACAAAATCTTTTCCATTTCAATTTCTATCAATTGGATCAAGGCAACAACAGAATCTTTAATCTTGTTATATGATTTAATTTGGAAACCACATTGCTCTACAGTCAATATCTCATCTTTTATTGAAATCAAGTGAAATCATATTAAGCTATATAATTCAATTAACTTTATCAATTTAGAAACCAAAAAAACCTCACAAACCAAAGACAACTCCAATAACTCATAAGATAATACCATTGTTGACTTATTTTCTACTGTCGCTAATTTATTCATCCAATCTAAATATAATTACTCCAAATGTATTTATAGCTTAACAACTTTATTTATTAATCTCAACTCTATTTCTCCTGATACTAAGTAGGTATTTATAGCTGCTTGGTGCCATCTGGCAAAATATATTGTTTTAAACTTTCTTTTCAATATTAGTTATATAATTACTGTAAACAATAGGGGTCCTAACGATACTACTTTGATACCATTTCGATACCAGTTCAATACCAGTTTAATACTTAAATTTACTATAAAAACATATGAGTAGGTCACAACCTATATATTAAATTTACTATAGATTGGTACCATTTCGATACCAGTTCAGTATTTTTTCAGAGTTCTAGTAAGCAAGCTAATATTTAACTCATTGTATCAACATATGAGAGATGTTATTTCTTTCACAATGTATACTATATTATATACAAATCAAATAAAGAAATGATATTTATCTACAAAAAAAAAAAAAAAAAAAAAAATTTTAATTTAGTTTATTTAAATTTAATTTATTAAAATATAAAATTTAATTTAGTTTAATTAATTTATTTAATTTAAATATAAAGTTTAATTTTAATTTAATTTAAATATGGTTTATTAAAATATAGAGTTCAATAATTTATTTAATTTAAAATTTAGAATTATTTAAATTAATTAAATTTAAATATAGAGTTTACTTTATTTCATTTAATTTTATTAATTATAATATTTATAGTATTATAATATTTAGATTATATGATTTTTATAAAAAATTTTATAAAAAATTTGTTATATTTGTATATAATAAATGTTTTTTACAATATATATATTTTTATTATTTAAATTAAACAAAAAACAATATATATTTATAAAGCTTATTTATTTATAATATTTATTGTTAAATTTTTTAAATTTTAGTATAATTTAATACAATTTAAATATTTTAACATAAAATATTTTGATATTTTTATTTTAAAATATAATTTATGTTAATATTATTATTTATATATTTTAATACAATAATAATATTTTATTTATTTTATGAATTAAAATACAATAATATCTTTAATTTTAAAATATAACTTAAAAGATGAATTATTATTTATATATTATCATATAATTTTATATTATTTAATATAATTAATATAACTTTATACAATTTAATACAATTTATTATAATTTAATAAAATAAATTTAGATTTATTACATTTTAATATATAAAATATTTTAATATCTTTAATCCCGGAGCATAGCCCGGGCTAACAAGCTAGTAGAATATAGAAATTAAAAAGATGAAGAAATTTTTTTTTTATAATTGTAAAGGTAAATGTATGCAAATAGATACAGATGATGATAATGAAGTATTATGATATACAAAATTAGGAAATATTAAAATAAAAGATAATCGTTGGTGCAACTTGCAAAAAATATCTTTCAATTGTACTAAGTGAATGATTATTTTTTGATGCAAATAATCATATTTCAGCAAAAAGAACATGTTGTGCACCTGATTTAGTAAACAAAATGTTATTTTTAAAACGTAATAATGTTCATTTTGAAATATTTCCGCCACAATGAAGTCGGTTTTTTTTGCTTAAGTAAATTCTAAACTTTTTTTAACATTAACATTTTTCCGTTTTAATGATTTATCAATTTATTATTATACGTGGTTTTAATTTTTAAAATCTAAATAAAACCAGTTCCAACCTTTATTCTTTATAGCCTAAGTAAATAAAGCATTAAACACACGCTTTTCCTATAATTTTTTCTTAATCATCTGAAAAATTTCTATTTTATCTATAACATTTGTAGCGTCGCCTTTTCTAATATAAAATTCGTAATCGTTTTTCTTGCACTTAAAACGAATTTTGCTTAATAAACTATTATGGTATATCTGAAAATCAGTACTGCCAAAGCTAAAAATATCAATAAAGGGTCTGGCGCATGTATTTATTGCCTCGTCTTCATTTATAACTCTACTAAGAATTGAATTTTTTGTATTTTCATTTTCTAGGGAAAAAATAAAACTCTGATTTGTTTTGATTTTTCTACTTGACTCACACTCAAAGGTTATGTCAACAGGAATGTATCCACCAAGAATCTCACCCGTAGAAGCTCTCAATATTAATATTAAATCTCCTTTATTACGACATGATCGCCAAAAGTATTCGAAAAAATCAGCGGTGCCATCATTCACTAGAATCAATTTAAATTCATAGTAAAATTCAGAAGCACTGTATGATTTTTTTCCATTAATCCACGATATTATTTTTTCTGCTTGTTGAGTGGTTATTATTTTCGAAGATATTTTCACTTGCTGTAAAGGAGCTGCATTCCTAATAGGTAATTGAATACTTGAAAGTTTTCGAGCTGGTGTGATTGTGGAAGAAATGGGAAGATTTGGTGCCATAGTCTTGCTAATAATATCCATCCAAAGTTGAGTTTCTAGAATCTGATAATAAGGACGAATTTTAAGGATTACATCCTCTCCAGAAATACAAAAGAATCGTACATGTGGTAAGCAGTTTTGAAGTATCTTTTTTAAGACAAGAAAATCCGTGTCTTTCCATTGTTCAAGAGTTGAAGGCAAAGTAGGACTCTGTGCAATACCCCATTTAATGACAAGACCCCAAATTTTAGATTCTTCAAGTTGTAAGTCGTCCCGTTTGATAATGGAAATTAAAGCTTCTTCGTTGATTTTATAGAAATCTTCTGAATCAAGTATAATTCCGGGGTGTTTTGTAATAATATCGTTGTAAAATTCTTGTAGCATCGTAAATTCATTATTCCCACAACTTTTTTGATAGACTCGAGAAAAATTCAATCGTAACCAAGAAGCTTGATATTCGATCAAATATGATTCTACGTATTTAGATAATTCCTTAAGACCGAATTTGCTTGCAGAAATTAAGACGTCAAGTATAAGCGAGGCTGAGATGGATTTTAAATTAACAATTCCACCATAAATATACCTATATAATATAAAGTTAATTATTATCTTTAAAGTTTTATCGTTAATAATTATATTACTTAAATTACGTACCTAATAATGATGTCAAAAACTTTTACTAAGACTTTAGGCTTATTAATAACCTTAATATCTCCATCATTACAGCCAATATGTTTTAGTTCATTATAGAGGTAGGGGCAACGATAACGAAGGATAATAGTATGTGCTTTATACGATTGTTTAATAGTTCCTTCCCCTATTTCGATGATTACATTGTACTCATCGTTATTTTCAAAAAGATTTATAAGGTCTTGGGATAAATTTCCAAGGAAAGTTGAAGTCATCTTGCTTTTTACTCAACAGTATTGTTAGTTCGATAAACTAAACAAATGAACAGTGTGTTTATTAAGGGATAGAATTAAATGAACAAACGCGTATGATTATACAATTAGATCTTAATACGTGATGAAAATCATACGTACTAATGATAATCATTTGCTTACGTAATAATTTCAAAATCGAGTTTGACTCGTTCGATTTCTTTTTTTTTGGTTTTATAATTTTTATTAAACAATTCTTATAACTTTATTAAAAATAATTTTTATTATGGAAAAAAAGCAAAAATTTTTAATATTGTTTGATCAGAGATACAGGGTATCGAATGTATGATTTATTTTTATTTTTTTTTTTTTACTTTGCCTACTTCCGTGTGCTAACTTACTGATGATTTTTGGATTTATGCAATAATGAAGTTCTCGAGGCCGATAACACTTTCATAAATATTTGATGTAATGAGATTAACCATTAAATCTGAAGCTAAACTTTGTTATATTTTAAAATTTATTATTAAATTATAATAATTAGTAACATGTATGAGTAAAGAGCAAAATATAAACTTAAAGTCGTAAAAATATTTAAATTCTAAACAGTTAACCATTATTTCCGATATTTCAAACGCAATCAATCTTGACTAATAACAAAGACCTAATTCCAATATAAATGAACGAACCTGTATATTAGGCAAATATTCAGCTATAGGAAGGTATTTTGACAAACCCTTACGAATCAGTGGGCGATCTTGCAAACTTGTAAAAGAACTTGATAGGTTTAATAATAGCATGTTCGATATTACGCTCTACTTTTTGAATAAATTGTTGCGAGACAAATAGTAATTTTCAGAGAACCAAATCATCCAACTCCTTCAATTGTATTGTATTTTACCGTTATCTGAATATACCTCATTTTTAAGCAAGGATTTGATCGGGGTAATCTTCATATTGTAACTGTGATCGGCGAGTCTGTCGCTAAGGAAAGTTCAGATTCGCGTAACGATGCTAAGTGTTTTATGGTGAGGCGGAATTGATGTTGGCCGAAAAACTTTTCTAACTGGACTTGATTCTCTTTTCTTTATTCAATTCTTCTTTCTTTTATACACTAATTACATAATAAAAATGATAAATACAAATTAAGCAAGCAAAAACTATAAAAATTCTCATGACGAAGTAACTGCTATTTAATTTTCACGCTACTCTTATTACATAATTCTATTAATCGATCCCATAGTGCCATGACACGATCCGATCACGTGACAATAGTTGCGATTGAATCGCGATTCTACTTCCTTCTAACATTTCCCTTTCTTCAGGCTCACGCTAGTTTTCTATCACGCTCATTGTGCTTGATAACGCTGTTTTCTTCCCAATATCGTGGGGAACCTAGAATTCAGTGTGAGGCGCGTTACTTTTTTCCCGTGTTACAATATACAAGATTACTTTATTCTTCAAATTTTTAGCTTCTAGATCGGTCACACTGACACTTCTCGTTCGCAAATGGTAAGGATTGCATGCGGCAAATATTCATCAGTTTCTCACGATATATTCGATGAACTATTAGGTCTGTTAGAATACCAATGCTATTACATGTATTTCTATTGTCAAAGAATATCCAGGTTGCTCCCTCTTAACATTTTGCTGAACTTCAGTTATGAATTTCGAAATCTCATTCCTTGATACCCGCATGAAAATTGAAGGAAAAAATTTAAACATCTATCACACGGGCTAGAAATCCAATCAGACTTGTCAAAATAATAATTGAGTTGATGATATTTTCTCCAACAAACAATGATGCAGGTATATTCTCCTGCACTCTCAGCAACTTCAATACCATCTTCAACATTACATTTTAGAAATCTATTTAGCAACTTTCACTTTTGTTAGACATTAAATGCCCACTTTGTGTAAATATTAGTGATTCGGGATCAATTACAGCTTTAGGTGTTGCCGTTGCTACTGGAGGCAAAATAGTCTTGACAGAAGCAGAAATTAGACTATATGCTGGTACAGGTTTATCATTTATTTCAATTGTATCCTCAACCACACCTTTCCAGGCGGCATTCTTACCACGACAAATTCTTCTAATCCTTGCTCGCAAATTTCGCGTTCAATACATTGCTTAGAGTTGCCTGTTTCAGCTTTGGCAAGTTTTATACACCATCCCTATTTCTTGCCAATATATTGGCCGGATCTAATATGTCATTATCAAAAGATTCTTCATTCATTTTTGCAGTCACGAGTATTTCTGTCTGAATCAAGTATTTACATGGTATTCGTCATCTTTTCTTGTGCAGTGCTGGATCTGAATAGTTATTTGGTATTAGACGCTGAAGCCAGAAGGTATCAATATCATGCGGAGATATTTTTGTAAAGCCTATATACCAGTGACCTTCGATTTAGTAGTATCTAGACTAATAGCAGTTTGGAACCCTTCGTTTTCTTCATCTGAATAAACTCTATATTTATCATCCTCAACCCGACCAACGCCTAATACACCTGTTATCAATGCTTCCACTCCACCTTCATCGTTATCTTCCTTCTCAGAATCAACTTCATATTTTTTCAAATTCATCTTCTTCCTCTTTATCAAAACTATGGCAACTCCAAGTTTATTATTAATCTCACCTGAATTCACCGTCATTCGGAAAGATAATCCGTTGTTTTTTCCTCAAATTCACTAGCTGCGCAAATTTATCTGGTAAAATGGTACCAATAATCCTTTCAATATCTCTTTTCTTGTCAAAATCCTCGAGTAAATCATTTTTAAAAATTTGCAGGATTTGTCTGCAGCACTTCAAATTATATCTTGTCTTTGATCACCGAGGTTTTGATGAATGAATGCTAAGGTTAATTCGTGAGTCTCTTCAAGTTTCTTTTTATCCGTGTTCTTTAAGATAACCCATCAAAATGTTCGCCAGTCACCAATACATTAGAATATCAATAGATTTTTTAATGTACTAAAGAAGCAATTGTATTTAATAAAAATATCAAGTAAAAACAACTCAAAAGAAAAAAGATAATATAAGATGAATCTCACCTCCTTTCTTCATTTCTTTTTCCACTGCTTCTGTAGCCTTCTATGCTTTTTTTATTTTTGCTTGTAAATCTTTTATAGTGTCCCTTTCTGCTCTGGTATAAAATCATTTGAGTTGATTTTCTCCCATAATAATTCTAGCTCACCAGAAAGCTCATGATCTTAATGCGGTAATTCTGAACAATTTGATTATAGGACAAAATTAGAGTTAGTAATATATAAGTTAGTACCAATATAAAAAGAAAAGGACTATTGTATTCTTACAATTATTAACGAATTCATCGTTTTATTTGATTATTCAATATACTGTATTTGTAATTTCGTTGATTTGGCTAATAGAAAAATCGGAGCTAGTGATTTCTAATAAAAAATAATCATAAGAATCACTTATATAAAACAAAAATAGTTAATACAAAAAAATTACCCATGTGACTTTTAATAACCAATAAAAGATTATAGCATATAAATCAATGATTTTCAGATGGATTTTAAGTTGATAATTGACTTGAATCAAATCCAAATTTCTATCAAATAAGTTCCATCATGAACCCAATCTGAACTGACTCATTCAGGAACACTGCTTCTTCAGTATATTACTACTCTAATTTTTTTTCTTTTTTCATCTTATTACCTTATAGTATAGAATATATACACTGGCGATCACAAATAAAGCAGCAAAAAAAAATCGTTAAATTATATTATCTCATGCAATTCATAACCAATTTTTATTTTTTATTTTTTATTATATTGTTAAATAGTATCATTTTTACTAGTATAATTTTATCTATCATTAATATTGCCAATGTAAAGATAATTATGCATGTGTCACAAAACATGTGATATATTATTTTTGCTCATTTTTGACAAAGATCCAATAACTTATTCTGTACCACATAAATACATATAAATGTAAATTTTTTTGTCATTTTTGTATTTTGTGTAATGTTAGAGTTAATTTATAATCAAGTTGTGAAAAAAAAAACATACAACTCCTATCCAAAGGACTCAAATATTGCTTTTGCTGCAAAAAGGATACATAACAAGAGCAATATGTGAGGCTCATCATATTAGCTCCTCCACTGTCTTCCATATTAAAAAAAAGTGATTAGAAAACCACATGCTTGAAGATTTAAAAAGAATTGGTCACCTACCTTTATTGAGTGAACTAATTCAAAAAAAAATTGTAAATTTAATTACCTCTTGTCATTGCTTTACTTCAATACAAGTGGTTTCTCATATGAAAGAAATAAAAAATCTTAAAATTTCAGCTTTTACTATTTATTGTATATTCTAGAAGCACAGTTTGATATCAGAAATCAAAAGAAAAAACTCTTTCTTAAGTACTAGTTATCAAAAAAAATGATTCAAATTTGCAAAAAAGTATAAAAATTGATCTGTTGAAGACTGGTCTAAAGTAATTTGATTTGATGAATCAAAATTTCAAATTTCTGGATTTGATGGCAAGCAATACTATTAGAAACATTCTGGAAAACCATTAAACCAATTTTATATTAAGTCAAAAGTGAAGTATAGAGGTGATTCAGTTATTATTTGAGATTGTTTTGCCTCCCATGATGTTGGAGGCTTTTGTAAAATCAATAATATAATAGATGACGAGTTATACTGACAGATACTTTGTAAAAACTTTATAAAAAACTGTTAAAATCATAAGTTTGCTATTAGCAATATCATTTTTCGACAAGATAGCATTTCTTGTCATACTGCAATTTTAACTGAACATTGGTTTAAAAAAAACAAAGTAAAAAATTAAATAAATTCAACATATGTCATTCTTACCCAATTAGAATTAAATTGGAACTTAAGAGATTTTTGAGATTTTATAATATATATATAAAGAGAGAAATATACAAGAGACAAAGCAACAATAAATACTATCCTTTTATCATAAAACTCAAATTATTATTTAATACTTTCACTTATCTTGTATCATATCTTCATACCTCTTCCAATGTTATAC